CCTATCAACATCATCATCCAACAACCTCAACCTCCACCATCATCCCCAACCCCCATACTCTACCCATCACCTATGCTATCATGCGCCACTCTAACACTACTCATTCCTCACGCCCCTATACCCCCTACCCCTCAACATCAATCATACAACAACCTCCACCACCACCCACCTCGCCACCTCATCATCTTTGCTATCTTGCGCCTCTTTCCAACACTACCCATTCCCCACCCACCATCACCACCCCATTTATATCTCAACTTCCCATCGAAATACAATCACTTATAAAAACACCACTCAATTTTCTAAAACAAAAACTACATAATACCATAATACGATGTCGTCTAACCTTGATGTCACCGTCGCAGAAACATCACCGCCGGCGGTGGAGGAGAAGCCTCCACCTCCGGCGAGGAGATTTCCACCGCCGTGTTGGACCCAAGAAGAAACTCTAGCCCTAATCGACGCCTACCGCGAGCGGTGGTACGCCCTCCGCCGTGGCTACCTCCGTACGGCGGACTGGGACGCGGTAGCAGCCGCCGTGACCAGTCGCTGCCCAGACGCATCTCCGGCGAAAACCTCCGCCCAGTGCCGCCACAAAATGGAAAAACTCCGGCAACGTTATCGTGCTGAAAAGCAACGTTCCCTTGCCTCTCCAACCGGTAGGTTTTTTTCGTCTTGGTTCTTTTTTGATAACATGGACGCTATGGAAAATGGTACTACTGTTGCATCAATCAAATTAAATCAACAATTAGCCGAAAAACAAGTCCCATCAATTGACCCAAATTTATTGAAATTAAAGATCAATCAAAAGAATGGTGTGAATTTTCTTGATGATTGGACTCCAAATATCATGTTAAATCATGGCGTTGCGAAAACCCCCGAAAGAAATATTTTTTCTTCTAAGATTCCAAATGGGTATTGTTTTAACAAAGAGGAAATGCCTAATGATGTCGAGTTTGGAAGTGGGTTTCGCGTAAAAAATGGAATTTCAATGAAATCGAAGCGATCAATAATGAATAGTACTAGTTTTGATTGTGATGAAGGAAGTGAATATAATGGGAGTAGTAATGCTAGTGATGGATTTCATGTAAGAAATTTTGGTGAAAATTTTGGTATTTCGAGTTCGAGAAGAAACTGTGGTGGAAATGTTGAACCCAATGTTGATTCTAGGTTTAGTACTCCAAAATTGGGGAAAAAGGGAGGTGGTGTTGGGAGTGGGGGCGGAGGGGTGAAAAGGGGTAGGGATCCGATTGAAGAGATGGTTTTATCGATTAGGTTATTGGGTGAAGGGTTCATGAAAGTGGAGAAGATGAAGATGGAGATGGCAAAGGAAGTCGAGCAAATGAGAATGGAGATGGAGATGAAGCGGAACGAGATGATACTCCAATCGCAGAAGCAGATTGTGGATGCATTTGTGAAGGTGTTGAATGAGGTAAACAATAAGAACAAGAATGTTGTTTCACCTGAATCATAGAGCTCTAAGGTGGAGAGTTTACGTCGATTTCCATTGTTTGTGGATGACGTTGATAATATCAAGACGCCTCCATCCCAAACTAGTTGGAGTACGGTTCATTTCCATTGTTTTGGATGCATTGGAACAACAACAACAACGCTGCCGCCTCTATCCCGGACTAGTTGGAGTTCATGTTGATATGAAGCTTCTTGATTTCAAGGTTTGTGCTTTAATTTTGCTGCCTATTTATGACTTTTGTGTGATCATAGATCATAGTTTTAGGTCTGTTTTTGCATTTCCAGGCAATCTGTGACATATTGTAATGTGTATAGCTACTAGTTTTAGTAGTAGTAATAGTTATTTATTTATATATAGTATTGTGTAGTAGGATTAAGAAGTGAGGGATTTATCGTGATATGATTCTAATGAAATGTTACAACTCTTCAGCCTTCATCAATTCGTTGACTCCTTTGCTTTTGTAGGTGTTTGCTTTGATGAAATCGTTATTTGTAAAGAAAATTCATGAGGAAGATACGGTCAGACTTCTCTATAATAACATTCCTATATAATAACCATTCATTATAGAAGTCAAATTTTTTTCGGAACCGATTATTTTTTAATGTTATAACATGTCTTTTATAACAATACTTCACTATCACAGCCGAAAAATATCAGAACAAATGAGGTTGTTATAGAGAGGTTTGACACAATTTGATAATTAGTTACAGCTCAAGCTGCTCTTTTGTTTTCTTGGATAACGATGGTGTGCGGGTCAGCTTGTGCATATCTTAACTAGTTTTACCGCGTACCTACTACCACCGTAACATTTCTGGGTACAACTCGAGCTACTCTTTGGACGTTGAAAATGTGACTTTTCCATCATTGTTGCTCCTTGAACATTTCATGATCTCTGTAGTAAGACTTGCTTACAAGAAGTTTTATTCTGCTAATCGTGATGGAAATCTAAACTAGTTAAGTTATTAAATTATAGTACTGAAACCTCACTCCCTTCTTTGAAACACAAGGATGTTTTGTATAACATGGCTTTGGCTAAGCAAACGTATGTTCTTGTCATTTACCATTGTGAAAAAGTTGCTATGCAAGTCATGGTTCATCTATATCTGAAGAAATATTACAGGAATTTACCAGCAATTCAAAATTGTCCTTCCTCTCCTTATCAGAACTTAAAATTGACGTTGAATCGAACATCTAATGGTGTGATTTGGTGGTCAATAAATAAATTGGATGAAAACTACGAAAGATGAGATAAAAACACGCCACATGATCTCTTCCTATCTTAAGCATTGGTGGACAAAATTACTAGATATTGTGCAGGTGAAAAATAATATGTACTCGATGCCATGGTCGAGTGCGCATAAGGTGGTTCTGACTAGGGGTGTACATGGACCGGGTTGGTTCGGTTTTTATCAAAACCAAACCAAACCAACATATCGGTTTGGATTGGTTCGATTTTGTCGGGTTTTTTGGGTTTTCTGGGTTTTTTGTTACTTAAATATTATTTCAATCTTACTTTATTAAATTTTTTATAAGTAAATATATGTATAGTAAAAATATAAAAAAATTGACAAACATATTATCTATTAAAATATTCTTATGAGAGAATTTTCTTAATAACACATAATAGTTATTTTTTAGTCGTTTGACAATAATTTTTCATATTTAGTAATTAAACATAAAAATCAATATGATACCTAAATAATAATAATAATCACTTCACATTCGAAAAAGATATAAGAATTTAATGTATCTTAACATATGATATAAATATGAAAGAACAAAGAAATTGACGTACTTCAGTAACACTCGATGAGAAAGTGATCATACAACCCATTATTTAAGGTTAATAAATATGGAGCATTTCATATAATATTAAATATTATATCTCGCAAGAGAATCCCAAATATTTCTAGATATTTGGTAAAGAAAATTTTATATAAAATCTTAAAAGTATATATAAAAATTATATATTTATATGTCGGTTTAGTTCGAATTTTTTTGTTCAATATCAAATCAAACCTAGTCGGGTTTTTTAATCGGGTTGATTTGACTTTTCGGTTTGAAGCGGTTTTTCGATTCAGTTTGTACACTCCTAGTTCTGACACCACCAGTATCAAAGAAGTAAAAACAATTGATGTTGAACCAAAGCAGCTAGTAGAGTCTCTTAGACTACCAATAATTTTATTAGCAACTCATATCCACAGGTATTCAACAACTACAAGTGAATTGACCAATTCTTCACATTGATTCTGTCAAAAGGATTGGAGAGTTAGTATACAAGATCAGCAAAAAGAGCTCACAACAAAGACAAAAAAAGTTAACATTAAGAATCATTGCTCAGAAATAGAACATGAAAGGGAAAAAAAAATACATGGCAGTCTGGTACACGAAGCATCTTGCGTTTACGCAAGGTCCAAGGAAGGGCCGCACCTCAAGGGGGTGTGATGTAGATAACCTAACCTGATCTTAAGCATCAATGGCTGATTCCACAGCTCGATCCCGTCACCTATAGGTCGCACTGAAGCAACTTTAAGGCCCCCTTCCAACATGGCAGCCTGAGCACTACAACAAAATGGAGAATATGATATAACATATTCTCCTCTGACTACTAGCATAGATGAATTAGCGGATTATTTCAAGAAAATGGGAACTAATGTTATACGAAGAACAATCTCAAGACTCCTTCGAACCGCTTGAGGTCTCATCTTTCCAAGATGCTTGCCATTGTTTGTCGTAGAAAGTAGTCTCTTCGACCAACTTTTTGATAGTTTCTATATCCTCATTCTTGCGGATCAAAAGAACACCGGCTACAGCTACAAACAATAGTGTTTTGCAGAAGAAGTTTCCCATTTGATCGACGAGGCCTACACCAGTCAAGCTATCCACAAAATAGGCCATAAAGAAACCAATCATTGCAGCACGACCTGTGCAAGATTCACATTGTTCCATTAGTTAATCAGCTCTATCCTAATATAACTACTGTTTTGTATTTTGAGACGAGGAAATAATTGCAAGGGAAAAAAAGCATATGAGCAAACCATTGAGACGTTCTGCTTCAGGAAGATGAAACCTCTTCATCCATGCCCACCAAGGAATAATTGAGGTGTCGAAAAGCACAGGGTCTTCATTACTTGATGACTCTGGGTTATCTTCCAACCATTTTCTTCTCCTAACCTCTGCAAATGAATAGCCATCAATTGTTAAATTGTGATAAATTCCAAAAATGGACGAAAAGAAGACATTGATAATGTCTATTACCAGAGGCAAATCTAGGATTTCTAGAACATGGATGCACCACTAAAGAAAGAAGAAGAAAAAAAGTACTAAGTGGAATTGATCCATGTTCTGCAAGGTAAATAACTTAGCTTTGAACCAAGTGTACCACTCAGACTTTTTGGAGCATGTTGGCATGGGTGCCAACAGATAATATTACACCGATTCTAGAGAATGTGTACATAAAATACCTAGCTTGACAAAGAGACCATGGGTTCACGTGACCCATATTTTAGGCCTAGATCCGCCCCTGTTTACTACCATTAGGGACGACCAAATAAATCTTGAACCAAGCAAGCCAATGTATTATTGAGAAGGCATCAAATATAGTACCAAAAAAGGATTAAAGATTACAACTTTTTAAAGTTTAGTACCAAACAAATAGTGCTTAATGAAGGCTTCAGACAATAATCTCAATGACACAGCCAAGGAAATGGAGGAAACGGTATCATCTTATAGTTAAGAAGTAACAACTGTATATGACCTGCTATAATCCATCAAGTTCAAGAAAGTCCTCAGTGTTATCTCCATCTCATGTAACATTTTATAATTAATTACATTATTTAATGACCAGCTCCTCGCAAGTGACTGTATACTGTAATTGCTTCAAACATACAGATAACTGTCACTCAAGAGTTCAATCAAAACCAGCCAAAGAGCAAGAATACAAACATCTAGCAATAAATACTTGCCTATGGATCTCCACACGTTGTGTAAAGCCAGCCTCATGAAAAAGCTTAATACAAAAATTTTGATTAATCCGCGCATTCTCAATCTTTTAACTATTTCTAGCTCATTTTCAGTCTTCTAACTATTCATCTGCTCACCTGCTTAAGGTCCAAATGCACTTACTCGACACACTTCCTAATTATGCCTATTAATTTCCTTATTTCGGTTGACTAGAACTCGGCATTACACCAACTTGCAAAATACAGGATTGCATCCAAATTGGAAAATAACCAAGTCATATAGAAAACCGTAGCGTGCAGGCACCCCCACTTTCAAATCAAACAAAGTCTATGCTTTTCGACACACCCTCAATTAGACTCCATTTTGGAATGAGACACTTCAGCTGCACACCGGTTTCTCAAAGTCTCAGCTAATATAGTGTGCAAGGTTGTTTAGTTAGCTATCACTCTATGGCTGCAAACAAACGACAGAAGAACACCCAACATAAAGATGCACACTCCTCCATGTGAAATATTCATCTTCATAGGAGCTTTTTGATAGTAGTCGTGGCTAACAACCATCATCTCTCGGCTTGTTGGCCTTGAGAGCTTCAAGCCCGACTTCTGGTGGCGCACCCTCAACACAAGCACCACCAGACGAAGGGGGGACGGGGAAAGCTACAGGATCAAGAATCAACCTTTCATTGGTAAATAGACTGGAAGTCTTTGGCTAGTGCACTGACCTACTCGCCTTCACCTAAATGAAGACCAAGCGTTCTAGGAAGGTTCGCGCCTGGTGTCTAAACCGGAGATATCACACCGGAATTCATTGCCCGCCCAGACAATACAAGCAAAAGGTGATTTACAAGGAGTACTCAAGTACTGAGAGAGGTGCTATTGCATTAATAACTCCAGCCAAGTCCCTGTTGGCTGCATCACTATGTGTGTCATCGGAGCAAGATGATTCAGGCAAGAGCCCAGATGAAGCAGCAACATCATCCTCCATGGTGGTGTGATGGGTCGTCCAAGGTACCATATGTATGTCTTGGTAGCTAAAGCTGACCCAACATGCCCCCAATGCAAGAGCAGCTACCCGGAAGATGACTTAAATTTGGTTTCATCAATCAAGAATCCAAATCATGTTCTTTTATTACTAGGTTCTATCCACCCCCCACCACCCCTCTCCCCCTGCCTCCTCCCAAAAGAAAAGAAAAGAAAATCCCCTTTTCCCTTTCATTTAGTTTCGACAAAATAGAGCACTACTTGAGCTCCACTGTTGTGACTTAGATTTATTTTTTTTCATTCTTATTCTTTCCCAATTATCATGAACTAGATATTCTAAAAGATGGGAAAGCATTTTTCCTTTATTTTAAAAAAAAAAACTATACATAGATTCCCTCAGTTTCAGTTTATATGGCATTCTTTTTTTTTTGTCCATTCTAGAAAGAATGACAACTTTTTATATTTAAATGCCCAGTGCGAGGTGTGCGCAAGTTGGGCTAGATACCACATATTAAAAAAAAAATACCTTCCATTTTACGCTTAATGACATGCTCTTACCGTAATAAAAATACCATAGTTCAAGTGTTCTTTTGGTGTGTGCCAAAAGTCTTTCTTTTTAACAAGAAAAATATATTTTGTACCTAGTTAAATATCTCTATATCAAGTGTTCTTTTGGTGTGTGCCAAAAGTCTTTCTTTATAACAAGAAAAATATATTCTGTACCTAGTTAAATATTTTTATATGTCGAGGGTCTATCGGAAACAGCCTCTCTGCCCTCCAGGGCACGGGTAAGGCTGTGTGCATCTTACCCTCCCTAGACCCTACTTGATCTTACCCTCCCTAGACCCTACGTGATCTTACCCTCCCTAGACCCTACTTGATCTTACCCTCCCTAGGCCCTACTTGTGGGAAATTAGTGGGCTTGTTGTTGTTGTTGTTAAACGAAAGGGAAGGAGTTGTTATACAATTTGAAAAAGATATACTATATTTATAATTTATGCTAATGCCGCACACTTTGTCACAAAGTACAGGAAGATACATGTGGTTATACTTTGCAATCACTTAAAAACTACATGAGCCTATGCTTTCCAGCTACAAAGTTAAGTCAAGCAAGTAGAAATAGCACCAAGTACATAGCTTGAAATTGGCCAAAAACAAATTTATAACTTTAGTTACTCCTAATTAGTCATATAAATAAGTCCACTTCAAGAAAAACAAAACAAATTGGAAATAAAACTTTCACCTGCATCAATAACAGAATCCCAATGAATCTTCCCATCTTTCTCAAATTGCTTCAAATCCCAAGTCCCACCAACCCATCTACTATCCTGAAACTTCCTCACTCCCTCCTCCGTCGCCGGAGCTCCGGCGGAAACCGCCGGCAGTGACCCATTTGAGTTCAAAGCCACCCCATTAGACTCCTCAGTTTTTTCTTGCTCAATAGTCACAGCTGAAGTAGCTGTAATACCAGAAGAAACATCATCAACAGCTCTAAAGGAGAAATGGGGTTTCTTGAGAGTTAAAAGTAGATATGGTTTGTGAGTTAAATCGGGTTTTGGAGGAGAGAGAGTTGGGAAGTGGGGTGGAGGAGCTGAGAATAAGGCCATTGATGACATTATAGAACTTTCAGAGAAGCAAATAAGGTAGAGAGAAAAAGTTTAGAACATACTGAATTTTTCCACAATCCTCAGCCGCAAAGATGGGAGCTTTTTATATGGCTATTTATTAAAGATCGAGTTCTAATTTTACTTGTACATTATTTTCTTGTTTCATTTTATATGATGACATGTAACTGAAATTTAAGAAAGAAGAAAAATTATTGATTAAGTAAGCGTTTCGACATAAAAATTATAATTTTTTTTAAAAAAAAGTATTTGATATTAAGTTAAAAATATTATTTGAAATGTGAAATTATGTTTGGACACTTGTAAAATTTCATGAACAAACACATTTTTGAAAAAAAAAATCGAAAAAAAGAATAAAATATTTATGAACAAACGGGTCCTTATAAGTTGTATTTTCTCTATCCCAATATATGTGAAGATATTCATTAGGTGTGAAATTTAAGGGGGGAGGACCGGAGGGGGGAAGGAAATTATAATTTATCGTCTAAAATAAATTATAAAAATTTATGTAGCTATAGAAACTTCTCATTAAAGATAAAAGAAAAAATTTAATGTTAAATTATTCTAAATATAAAATGATATCATATTTACGATAACATACAAAATAAATTTGCACATAAATTAAGACATTTGGAGTATATGACGGTTTTTAACACGACATAATTTTGGTAAAGTTGTAAAATTTATTTAAGATAATTAGATTAGTGAATTACAGATTTCTCTCAGATTTACAAGTCAAATCTTAACCAAAGGAGCTTGAGGTAAGCACCGAATAGTCATTCTAAAGGGCTGCTATTTAAAATTTAACCAATGCATCCTGATGTTCAATTTTTCAAGACAAAAATGTGAGGTTAAAAATTTTAATTTAAAATTTCAGAACAAAATGACTAGTGGCTAATCTTTAAATAACATACTTGAGAATAGCTATCTGTGCACTTGCCTCATAATACTAAGTGCACTATTAGCCATTTATATGGTCGCTGTTTAAAACATAGCCATCATTTGCAATTTATTTAAAATTTTAGCAAATGAGACAAACTTCAGACCCGCTCCCTCCATTTAGGGATTAGATGAGTCTTTAGGACTGACTTCACCATTAATAGAACTAACACACAAAAGGGTGTTCACAATTAAGCCAAAAATTTCACTGCATACAATATTTCTAGCCATTCATTACCACTTCTGCATTTTCAGCTATATTTGACATTGTTTTGACAACCTATACAAAAGGGAAAAAACAACCATATCCATTTGCTAAATCCAAAATTTGGTTTCAATATAGGTCAACCGCGAAAATGGTAACCATCCGAGCCCCTTTTTGCAAATTCCATATATAAGTTTGCATGGGATATGCAACACTACCATATTGTTTTGGCTTAACTAGCTTTGAGATATCCTAAAGAAAGCAAGCAAAGTGTGATAATATTGCTAGGGACGGACGAGATGTGAAGGATACATTGAGCTACTACTAGTACTCGCTTGAGGAGTAAAACTTGATGTTGGTAAGAGTAGTTCTGCTTGAGGGAAGTAGCTGTTGGATGGCACATTCAGCAGCAAGTCCTGATCAGAATTTTCGTTTGCAGAACGGAAAGAATCCAGTACGAGGGAACTAGTCTCAGAAGGCAAGGCGAACGAGCTTTTTGGGCTGGAGCAAGAACCATCATTGTCTAATGGTTCCTTCTGCTCATAGATGCTTTTCATCACCACACTCTTGGGGCTCTTCATTGTTGTCTTTGCACCTGAAGTGAAATAGCTCGTAAATCTTAATTTGTCGGAATTAGCAAATATGTAATTGAAGAACACACTGCACATGGAATGTACTGGAGTATAATAAAGTTGTGATGCTTCCTAGTCAAACCAACCATGAGTTTTGCATATATTTGCGTGTCTAGTGTGTACTTCTAAGGAATATGTGCTGGCAGAGGGGGCTAATAAAAAAGAAATAATAGAAAGACAGAGATACATAGGTAGACTTTTCTTGATACCAATCCTTATTTCCAACCTCTCGTCTTCAACGAGTGAATTTACTCCAAATAGTAATAAGGCACGAAACGAGCCACGTGGTTGCTCATGTGTGAACAAATATCCCATAACATTGTCGGGAACATTTTTTAAATCTTACTGTTATACGACATACTCCCTCCGTCCCAATTATGCGGCGGTGTTTGACTCGGCACGGAGTTTATGAAAAAAAAGGAAGACTTATGAAACTTGTGGTCTAAAACAAACATAGATATTTTGTGTGACTGTAAATTATTTCATTAAGGGTAAAGTAGCAAGTTTAAAATTAAATTGTTTCTAAATATGTTAGTATGACATTCTTTTTGGAACAGACTAAAAAGGAAAGTACGACACATTGGGACAGAGGGAGTAACAAGGTAGAGAATTCAGTTGTGAATGCTCAAAACTTATGCAAGTCCTTATCTTACTCTTGTGCTTTCTTTACCATGCAAGTTTGAACGACAATCCTCAGGTAAATACTTGTCTCCCATCGAAACAAGTCTATCACAGAGGATTTGTCAAATGTCATAAAGGGAAAAGTGAAAGAGGAACATAACCGACCCGAATACTTTAGATGTTGTCGCTCCTGTGGTCTCTTCACAGTTACTGAATGACATGTGCCGATAACACTTCGCTCTCCTGCAACTTCAGAACCGCTGCTACTATTCTTACACTTTGTGTCCTACCAAAGAACAAAATTAGCTTCAAGAAAATTGCACTTCACATATAGAATATAGAAGATGGTGGATTACATGTTCAGTATATATGCAATAAATGGTTAGTAACCAAACCTTGAGTAGATTATATTGTTCCACCCATTTTGACTTTGATAAATAGCATAATATAAACCTCTTCAAGGTTCTACAATCTTCTAACTTTACTCCTGGCAACGAGTTATCGAAAACACCTTCTGCAAGAAGTTTCTGGAAAGAAGAGAGGTTTTCCTCAAATTGAGAGCTCTCAAACATGCTTCTAAGACTGCAGATAGAGAAAAGAACAGGAAAATAATTTGTTGTTCAAGTTCAATATAAGCCAAAACATGACGCAGAAAGTGAAATATAGAGAAGACGTGCAAACCTATCTGGAGGCGCAAAAGAATCAACAGGCGGTAAGTACTTTAGTAGCTGTTGTTGATCATCACTTGATAAATGCCTCATGAATTCTTCAAAATTAAGTACGTCCTGCACCAAGTATCACATAATCTTATCAATTTCTGATCGATTCCAGTAACATTTAACACTGAACAACCTAGTGAAAATAGACTTTGAAAATGGTTAAAGACCTTTACTGAAAAAGAGAAAGACAATCCACGCAAGTCAAAAGTTAGTACTAAAGATAATTAAAAGAGGAAGATCATTTTTAAGTCTACAAACCAGAACAATAAACCAGCAGCACAGACAAGTTGGCCTTGTTAGGATATGCTATGGTTGTATTAAGTGAAAGAAAGCAAAATTTCCTTATAGGAAATACAAGAGAGAGTAACAGACCTTCAGTTCTATATAGCGAAGGGGTGAATTATGATGTCCAAGAATCTGTAGGTTTTCAAGGTGATCTTTGTTTCTGCAATTTAGAAAGAAAAAAAAAAGAGGAAAATCAGAAAGATGGTAAGCATACACCAAAAGCAAAGAAAAAAGTTTCAAATGCTCATAGAATGATGGAACTAGAATGACGTTGCAACAAGTTTACCTAAGAATTCAATAGAAAAATGCAGACTTGTTGTGTGGTTTAGAAGATGTGGTGAACAAAATAATGTATGTTCCAAACCCGTAGGTGATACCAGAGGCGGAGCCAAGATTTCAATTTTATGGGTTTTGGATCTTAGTGCGACGACTAATAACAGGGTTCTAAGTTCAATGTGTACAAATTTAATGAATTTCTTAACACAAATACACTGTTTGAACAAAAGCTACTGGGTTCGGCCGAACCCATAGCCAGGCTTCTACCTCCGTCCTGGGTGATACTACATGTGTAGCGACATGACATCAGACTTTAGCAGATATAATGCATTTAACCCCTTACATTCCACCTGACCAACATGCAGCACAAAATTTTGTTTCTCGATGCAATTACATGCTAGCAAGACTAATGGAGAGGGCACCTTTTAATCTGGTTCTGTTCCACCACCTGACCGGTAGGTTTCTTGGTTCTCTCGGTCCCACTATTTGGTGAATCGACACCCCTACTAATATTTACAGGTGGGGTAGTCAATCGTGAATAAGCCTCATTGACAGAACGGTGCTTGTTTTCAACGGAAAGAGAGCTGGCTTCTGATGATTCTTCTCTGCCTATCGAACTAGGATGCCGAATTAGCATACTGCCATGTCCTATCTCAACAGAAACCATAGGCTTTTCACTCTCGAAAAGCAAATCCTCTTCAGAGGATGCAGAGAAGCATGAACTTTGTTGTTGTTCATGTAAGATGGTATATAGGTCTTTGGTGAGCTTCTCGACTGAAGATGGCTTTGGACGATTGAAACAGGTTCTCTTCTTTGAAGGCACCGTTGTATCCCATATATTGGATTGTGCTGGGCCTGAAAAACCAAAATCAAGGGGTAAATACTTCAAGAAAATGCTAAGAACAAAACAACTCCACTTTAAATTTGACTGAAAGATGAGACCGAGCTCGAGATTTGGCCCTAAAATTTTCAGTTTTAGAAGAAAATGCAGCCATAATTCTAGTGAAGGTGCAGTTATCACAAAATAAACTCCCTCTGTTTCAAAAAGAATCAACCTATTTCTTTTTTAGTCTGTTTAAAAAAGAATTGATCCCTTTCTAAATTTGCCATTAATGAGATAATTATAGCCGCACAAATATCTATGAATTGTTTTAGACCACAAGTTTCAAAAGGTCTTCCATTCTTTCTGAAACTCTGCGCCCAGTACAATAAGTTCATTCTTTTTGAAATGGAGGGAGCACGTACCGGAGAAAGTGAAATAATTCTGAGAACAATATATGGATGTAACTAATAAGAGAGGAAGAACATAAACAGTAGGCATCGACAAGGAAATATTTAGGTTACCTGTCAAATCACTTGCTTCAGCACTACCAAATTGTGCACAGCTCTCGGAATTTGAG